TATACAGGTTCGGAAAGTTCCCATGGTACATCGGCCGTTACGTGAGAGCGATAAAGTAAGTCATAGAAATCCGTGCGATAGACAAGGATGGTTACATTGAAGACGTTTCATAATCTGAATAGTCACTCCCACTTCTAACCCGAAACGGGCGGTGACTATTCAGATTATGAAACGTCTTCACTATAGCCATCCTTGTCTATCGCACGGATTTCTTTGCTTTACTTTGTCGCTCTCATGTAAAAGCAGATGGACCATGTGGATTTTCCAGCCCTGTATACTAAACTACACTACATTTTTGGAAAAATTCAAGGGCTACAAGAATCAAACCATTATTTTACTATTAAAAAAAACTTAGTCAACAAAAAAACAGTTTTTAATTATAACATATTACCAGTCCCTACTGAAATTTATATTCTAGGAAATAAGATTTAAAGTTTAGGAGCAGTCTAGTGTTTGAAACTTGTAGTACTTGTACCTATACTAAACCATACTCAGGTGTGGAATACTCTCGTAGTCTGAAGCTTTCCATTTCCACTATATGCGTATGTATTATTTCTTAGGACATATGGTGCATAATTATTTGAATTGTGAATATTTAAGAAGCCATATAATATTTTAAAATCCCAGATAATTTTCAATAACGAACTGGTTCATTGTAAAAATTAGTTTTTGGCTTATTCGATACGAAAGTATCATTTATTTTCGTTTCTTGACGAAAATGAAATGTTAAATTTGATTTTCTTGATTAAAACAGTACACTAATTAAATTTGCGTAAATCTTTTTATTAATCAATTTAATTTAAATATAACATGTTTTCTAAATACCTACCTAAAAATAGTTAAAAAAATAAAATAAAATTTGACTTGACAATGTCATATCCCTTGTGACAATGGCAATTTTAAGTAGAACATACCTATGTGAAACAATTAAAAAAATAATAAAATGCTGTATTACAGCATATTTTTAATGAAATTAAACATATAATTCAACAGGATGATTTATAACATGTGCAAATAGAAAATTCAAGGTAATAGGTATATGGACAATCAAAATATTTGTAAATGAGTAAAATTATTGATGAAAGCTCAGAAATATTATAAGACCATTAAACTACATTCTTTTTTTTCATAAAGGTTTACTATTTAAAAATGATTCAGTAACGTAGATATGGGGGATTTCTAATCTGTTTCATCCTGTAACTTCAATTCCAGTAGAATGGCAATGGACCCAAAGAATCTAATCAACACAATTTTGTTGATAGTCTTAAGTTGCAAGGTAAAACATCATTTAATTATTTTTTAATCATAAACTTTTATCAACTGTAGTTTACTGGTCTTATTATACGAGTATGATCAGGAAATAAATAATATATATATATTAAAATATATTTATTTTCTTAGGAATTGGGTTCTGGTGTTTGTCGGTTAAAAAAAGATAAAAAAAAAAAAAAAAAAAAATTGAACAATGCAGGCCATTTCCAAATTTAAAATGAAAAAAGATAATATTATAATGTGAAAATATGTCCACTGTATGACGATTGATGCATGTTTTTAAAATATTAACGTAAAATGGTTGTTGTTTGGGTTTTAATTTATTAATTATAACAATTTTAACAATAAAAGCCTTTTGAAAAAGTTCCTGATGAGGAGCGAAACATCAAGAAAGAAATCGCTGCTGTTTTTTATCCTTTTTTTAACCGACTATCACACCAGAACCCAATTTCGAAGAAAATAAATATATTCTAATATTAAACAAAAGTTTCAAGAAGATTTCAATGTTATAAATATATATATGTATTTTAACTTTTTTTTCTTTTATTTAAACTTACAATTTTGACTTCCTACTTACCTCTGAATTTTTTACACACAATGTGAATTATAATTATGAGGAAAAACAATGTATTTTCAACTCGACATTAATTTGTTCTGTTTATGAACTTCCCCACTCACTGCTAACAAGAGATACATATGTAACGCTATACAGGGTGTCTGGTAAGTATATGACATACTCTCGGTGGTGTATAGGGGAGGTCAAATTAACCCTAGTTTGTCAGAAAAAAAAATCCTAAAGTGACCCTTAACGGAGATACAGAGCCCCAAAGGGGTACCCAGCGATTTACCTTTTCGGTTCTAACTTTTGAACCGACTTGTATAATTTAATGATATTTTAATATTTTATGTAGGCCATAAAAGCTCATAAAACCATACTACAGTAGATGTTTTACACTGTCGGGGAAGTCAGGAACAGATTTGCCACCACACTCGTTGGGCCAAAATTTTGGCAAGTATCATTTTATAGATCTGAAAACTGAATTTTTAAATACTTTGGTCATTCCTCTTTAAAAGGTACTCTACATTTGTTCGATAAAATCAGTCGTTTTCGAAAAAATTCAGTTTTTGTATAACACGTTCAAACATTAATTTATTTAATTATAAATTTTATTAGCATGTTATTTAAACAAAATAATATTCAAATAACATCACAACTAATAATTCGTATTAAAATAATAAAATTTGACATTATTACATCTCATTAATGCTTACATGCATCTAACTTATGGACAAGGACAAGCACTCGGTAATTGTGTGGAGGCAAGAAGAAATTATTCTGATACATTTCTAAATCACTTAAATGCAAGGCTGTTAAAAAAAAGCTGTGTTTCTTCTTGTTTACTTCAGCAGATTTTCGAAATGGTCGCCTCTATACATTTCCTTATCCGTCGGATGTTTTCTCGTTGTACTGGAAATAATATTCCAAAATTCTCTCAATTTCGTTGCAATGGTGTGTTATTCTTTTTATCAGGTTTTCCCTGGTATGAACTGACGTCAAATACACAAGCCTCTAAATTTTTTTTTTATCTTTTTCTCGTAACTACGATCAATTCTTTCAAAAGTTGTTCTTCGGTGCAATAAACGTCAATTTGGAAATGTGTCAGAACAAATTCTTCTTGCCTCAATGCCGAGTGCTTGTCCATAAATTAGATGCATGTCAGCATATTCTCTATAGGAACAATGTTCCATTATTTAGTCTTGTATACTCAATCAATCAGACAATTTTTACAAGTATTGGCAATAATGACAAAAACGACTAGTGTTTTATTGTAGAATTCTGATTTATTATTACAATGACGTGTTCTACAAAAACTGAATTTTTTCGAAAACGGCCAATTTTATCAAAACAAATGTATAGTACCTTTTTTTAAAGAAGAATGACCCAAGTATTTAAAAATTCAGTTTTCAGCTCTATAAAATTACACTTGTCAACATTTTGGCCCAACGAGTGTGGTGGCAAGTCCGTTACTGACTTCCTTGACAGTGTAAAACATCTACCCTAGTATGGCTTTATGAGCCTTTATGGCCTACATAAAATATTAAAATTTCATTGAATTATACAAGTCAGTTCAAAAGTTAGAACTAAAAAGGTAAACACTGGGTAACCATTTGGGGCTTTGTATCTCCCTTAAGGGGCACTTTAGGAAAAAAATTTATACGACAAACTAGGGTTATTTTGACCTGCCCTATACACTCATGACCAGACTCCCTGTATATGTTTAAAATACCTGCACAATATCTGCAAATTATGAGCAAAAAATTGAGCATGAATTTACTCATAAAAAATAAATTGCTGACACTTTTTCAAAAATCCAATATTAACATTATTAAATTATATTAATTTTTGGTATGGTATATTTATTAGATATTGATAATACACTGCACCTATGAAAAAAAAATTATGAACATTCTAATCTCTAAAGGGCTTAAATGACCCTTATTGTAAATAAAATTGATTTAGTATTGGCGGTATTAAATAAAACTTAATAACAAGTGTTAAAAATTCTTAAAAAATCTTACTAAGTGTCCTCTTGTTCCAAGTCGATAACACTGACCGCTGACTATTTCCGAGAAAAAAATGCATTACTTTTAAGAGTAGAATCATCTCTTTAAGTATATGCTCATACCCGTAGTTACTGAATATCCTGTATAAATTGATTTAAGTTAATGTTTTTCAACATTTTGAACTAAACTTAACTGTATAGAAAACTTTGTTTAAAAACTATAACTCATATTTAATACTATTTCTCATTTAACAATTAGCTATTCGGTAATTTTTTGCCTAGGAACATATTTGTCGTAAAGTGCTTGCAATTCATCCCAGAAAACCAGACACAGTACGGTATGAGGCCCCAATCTGAGGTACATCGGACCTACACCTTTGTAAAAAGCTGACAATCCCTCAGCTTTGTAGATTTTCGCCACACAGTCCATGTAACTGTGATACAGTTTTCCTTTGCCACTGGCATCGGTTGCTAAAAAATATGAATTCATTTCCCGCAAAAATTTTATTTGTAAAATAAAACTTACGTTGATTATATAGCCTAGTCAATATGAGATCAAAAGGAGTCATTACAACACTAATTGCTACTCCTCCAACCATGCTACCTAAGAAAGACGTCAAAAGAGGTTTATCCGTAAAATATTCGTATGTATATAAAAATTGTTTAGCATATTCGAAAGAACTTAATTGAGAAATCGAGCCAAAGAAGGCTCTTGGTATCGATGCCACAGCCCCGCGAAAAAGTCCTTTTACCTGGAAAATTATTTGAATAAATTCAAATAAAGAAATAATAAATTAATTTACTACATACTCCATTTTGTAAATAGATATTCTTTAATGCTTTCACGGTTCCTTTATGTTGATGTTGATGTCCAACTGCAATAGCTGCAACAGATTGAGACTGGAGATGGGTTTTAATTAAAAATAAGGGACTAGAGAAATATTGACCCAAAATTCCACCTAAGCCACCGATCAGTACACTTTTGTAAAACACTATATTCCCCTCCTTGTCTCTTACGTAACCTCTCGAATCGGCAAATTTATAAAATCCTGGAATATAAAAAGATGTAGTCAAACAATTTTGTTCAAAAAATATAAGGGAGGAAAATTGTGCAGACGGTTCTGTCTTATATTCAAATGTAGATAGACATATAGACAACCATATATACAATCATGTAATTGTAAAGAAACTGCAGACTAAAAATATATTTATTTTTTTCTCAATTGTGAATGTGATGAAATTTTGTTTTTGTAATTACAATTACTCACCTAATCGCATTCCATTTAAAACCAGTTGTACCCAAAGAGCAGGTACTAATCCCTTCTGAAGGGCCAAAATCCCATCGTTCTTGGCCACTATGTAACCAGCATGAAGTACATTTTTATAATATACCGCGTGTTGTCCCTTGGCCCTTAGTTCACCTTGTAACTGCATCCGAGTTTTTAACACTTCCAAAGGATTTGTAAAGAACCCAGCACCCACTGCAGCAGCACCACCGATAAAAAACTCCATATCCTAACCTGTATTTTGTACTGCTCTCTATATTGATTTTACGTATTATTTTGCGGATTATTAGTAAAAAAGTCAAAAATGTTATTTTGTAACCATTACACAATTGAATAATAATAAATTTCTATGCAAATGATGAAACAGTTATCTCATTTTTATTATTATGGTTATCTATCAAAAATCCTTTTGCTTAATCGTAACGTAAACAAGCTTTATCTACTTATAATTATTTTTGTAATATTCAATTTACCGCCGAAACATTGCATTAATTTTTACAATACTATAACCATACCATAACACAGATTTACATTTTCATTTACAAGGTCGATTGTGTAATCATTTCGCAAGGAAAAAATTTACTGAAATTTGAAATTCACCATTCGTTATGAGACTGCTTCCGAGAAAAATTTCCTGTACTGACTACTGACACTGACTACTGACAGTACTGACACGACACGATTAGTATTCCTATGAAATCGTAATAAAAAAATAAAAATAAATAAATTTGTCTCAACTTATAGTTGGATTTTGCATTCGTAAATACATTGTTGACATTTAAATTTGTGCATAAACATAAAATTAATTGTCTATAATATATAATTTTATAATGCAAATTAGTTGTAAAGTTAAGTTACTGGACCTTGTGTATATAAAATTCTGCCATGATTCTGCCACAGACGAATTTCTCTTCTACAATAATTGAAATTGAAACATAACCTTTATTTCATAATTTGTTTCTATCTAAAGCAATTGATTTTGATTTTAAACTACACAAACGTTCCTGAAATTATGGTTTAGAAATAAGGCATTGAAAACTAAAATTTGGAAGCACTAAATGTTTACTTTGTTAATTCCTTTAGGTGCCTGGCCTACATTTTTGATATAATCCAGATGTAATGACTGTAAACAGAAGACAAATGGATCCTTCACTGGAAATTAGAAAACTCTCCCCAAGATACATACGGGAGTTGGCCCAGATACTGGAAACTCATGAATTGTGGAAGAGACTAATGTCAATCATACCAAAGACACTGGAAAAGTTTAATTTCGTGTGTAATGTTACCCTAGATAATCCCCACAAATATAATTCGGAACATTTTAAGTAATGCCTTTTAAAACTTTTTAAAAAGATGGTTTATCAATGGTTTTTTTTTAGGTTAATAGAGAATGCTTCGGAAAAGTACAGGAGAGCTTGTACTGAAATATTGCTGGACGAATGGGGTACATCAGGCAGAGTCAGACCAGCTCTAGGTCATTTGCTGTACCTCTTAACAAAAGCAAAATTGTTTCGAGCTGCGGATTACATTGCTGTGGATCTCCTAAAACAGGAGAAACCTCAAAGACCAAGCACTGGCCCAGAAGCTTTGATCTCAATAGTATTACCTGAGCCTGCAAAACAGAAGGATAATCATCTGGAAGAGGTTGAAAGATCATTGGATCAAATCGGTTACCTTGATTCTGCGTTGATGTTAATTAGAACCAATTCCGAGGAGGCGGCTAGACATCAAAATGTGCCTTCAGTGATACCACAAATAGTTATAAGTCCCGATATCGATGAAGACAATCATGAACCACAGTTCTCTGTGCCACTCGTCGTGCAAAGGGAAAGAATCGATTCAGACATAAATAATGACTCTGATATGATGAAATTTTCGACAGGATCTCAGTCAACAACCAGCCAAAATTTGAACGAAACAAAAAATAGGCCTGAAATATCACAATTACTTAACGAATCACCGGAACTGTCCAATATGATAGAATTTTCATCAGAGACGGTGTCAAGTGGTAGCATCAATGAGATTGAATGTGATAGACCTGAGATTTCTCAGCTGCTTAATGGGGTGTCAGAGTCAAACTTACCAAATTTCGATATGATGAATGAATCTCTCAATGTGAGCAGTGGAGAAAGCTCAGAGAACACCTCTGAAGAAGTTCCTGCTTTTAGTGAACTGCTAACCAAAGAATGCAATTGTACTAGTTCAGAAGAGTTACCAGAATTAAATATAGAATCTTCATATGAGCCGAACATTCCAAATTTGAGTGCTTTGAACAATAGTGTCCAACTCGAAACTTTGCCTAATATATCTATTTTGAATGTGACTGGACAAAGTGGAAGTGTGCATATGGAAAACAGTGTCAATTTCGTGCCTGACTTCGATGCCTTACAGAAAAGTACAAATAATATCTCCGAAGTGTCCTTACCAAACATATCAGCACTCGGACTCTCACTCACATCACGCGCCTCGAGTCCAAGTAAAAGTATTTCAGTGAATATTTCAACACACTTGTTACCGACTACTTTAAACAGTTCACAGAATTCCTCCGACAATTCAACAAAATCACGGCCCTGCACATCGCCTTTACCCAATCTTTATCTCAACACTCTTCTGCCACATTTCACTTACGGTGAGCTGGAAAACGCTACAAACAACTTCAATCCTGAACCTTACAGAAGTATGCAGGAGAATGGTCGGTTTTTAGGCTCTGGCGCTTTCGGCTCCGTTTTCCTAGCGCTTGGATTGCTCGACAGACCTGTGGCCGTAAAAAAATTGGTATTGGAAGATGTGCAGGTAGTTAACATCGACGATACTGTCACTAAGCAGTTCCGGAATGAAGTTGAGGTTCTCAGCAAATATAAGCATGAGAATTTGTTGTCGTTGCTTGGCTATTCTTGCGATGGATGTACATATTGCTTAATGTATGAATATATAACAGGAGGAGCACTCAAAGACAGACTACAGGTACTTCCATTTAAAGTATTTTGATTTTCAACTAATGATATTGTGGGAAACTATGACATACTATACATATGACATACATATGCTCTACAGGTTATATCTCACCCACAATCAAAACATGTTTGTAAATAGACATCGAAATAGCTAAATCCTTTGTTGGTCATCTGATCCGAACTAGTAAGTTCTATGTCTGGCGATTTAGATATTTACTAGATATTTGGGGTGTAATTCTATGCCAGGTGGGGCATAGCCTGTGGAGTTATTGTTTCCCACCATACCATTAGTTATGTAGTTTATTCCGCATAGAATCGACACATTAGTAGGCACCATGCCAATAGCAATGACATTTAATATATGACATAATTTATAGGTTATATCTTACCCACTAGTGTTATTATCCTTTTATAAACTTTGTAGGTAATACAAGACAAGCTCCAGTGGAAAGAAAGATTAAGCATAGCCATGGGCACCGCCAGAGCCGTCTCATATCTACACACGGCGTTTTCTACACCTTTGATTCACAGGGACATCAAATCGGCAAACATTCTTCTTGATTCCAGGAACAACCCAAAGGTAACGGTTAACATTCCGAAGCTATTTTTATCTACTTTATAAATATTTTTGTTTTTGCAGTTGGGCGATTTTGGATTAATCAAATTGTCGCCAAGTCAGAACACAAATACGGCTACTACGGTGTTCGGTACGTCAGCCTACATGGCTCCAGAAGCGTTTAGAGGCGATGTTTCTGTGAAGCTGGATACATTCAGCTTTGGAGTGGTCTTGCTGGAGCTTCTAACTTCTCTGCCCCCCATGGATGAGACTAGAGACGGAAGTGATTTGGTGAGTTGATATTTTACTAAATAAATATATAAAAATAAATATGTTTACTACGATGGCTACTGGTGAAAAAATAATATTTAACTGTTTATTAATTTAAAAGTAAAATTAATTTCAAAAATATATATTTTTTAAAAGACTACTTTATTTATTATTGTTACACTAATATTCTCACTATCACATTCAGTGAGCATGTCATCATAAAAGTTATAGCGAGACGCTGTTATGCCAAACGAAATACACATACTGCACTTGTTTTCTTTTTGTTTTGTCATCTAGGAAAACGCTTTTTTTATTTGTGGGGTTTAATATTTTGTTAAAGATTTTTGTCCATGTTATTATCTTAAAATGTCATTATTATAAATATAAAAATATGTTCTGCAGTGGCGGCTCGCCAGATGATGCAAGTGATGCACCCCTTCACCTAAAATTTCCGTTTGGTTGTGCAATTTAAAATTATTTTTAATTTTATATAAATTTTATAATTTAGGTATAATTCTATATTGAAAATGTATTATGTTTGGTTGTTTTATACGCAGAAATAAACAGAATAGTTGCACGGTGACCGCCTTCTAAAAAAACATTGCCGTCGTTGAGCGCGAACATCAACCGTATAGTATAAGCAAAGTGACGCGTATCAAAATCAGTTTGTATTCTGCTTCACCTTGTAGCATTGTTTACGGCGGTTGTCATGGCAACAAGGCGGCCAACACGTGAGTAAACTACGACATGGAGGAACGAGTGACGCGGAAATTGAAGCAGCATCGTCATCGCCCATCACCTGTCTTTAAACAGTTTATACGATACGTCGCCCAGCATGTGACTATAGCGGCTCTTTGTTAATTAATTAATATTTCTTTTGTATCAAAATTGTAGAAATGTTTCCTATGTATGACCCGGTATGTATTTTATTGGAAACACCATTTTCCAGATGGAAAATTGAGGACGAAAGGGATTTTTTAAATTGCGAGAAACCTATGCCTTCTGTCGATGTGGAAAAAAGGGGAAAGTCAAAAAATAAAGTGTACATTCGGAAGTTTCAGAATGAATGGTATTCGGAGTATAAGTGGTTGCGTGGAAGTGTTTATTTAAAAATACTTTTCTGTATGCCTTGTTTAATTGTGTTTCTATTTTTTATAAAACCTAAATCAAAATTCTTCTCACGAACATCAGTTTTTTGGTAATATTGCAAATGCAAACGAGTAATTCTTGCAGTGAACTACAACAAAATGAAATTTTGACAATGAGAGAGTGGCAATTTAACTCCTGAACTGTTGTTAATTTTCTTTAACTCAGTGGGCGCTACTGTATGTCCAGTGAAATACTTATTGTACTGTGTAAAACTATATATTTGGGGTATTTGTATTATTTTAAATTTAGTATTAAAAAAAGTAAAGAAATATTTATCACCCCTGTTATAGTCTTTCCGAAGTCAGTTGAACATGAATAAAAACGCCTAGCAATAAAATTTAATGAGTTTCATAGGCGCCCCTAAAAAAGTTTTCCGATAAAAGTAAAAAATAATAATTTGTGCATGTGTAGAAAATTTCTATTATATGCTCATTTGGCCAACATACAGTAGAACCCCAATTATCCGTGATCTACGGCACCGAACGTGGCACAGATAATTGGAAAACATGGATAATCAAAACATTTATTTTTTACATAAGAGGGGACGGGGCAATACAGTGAACATGCACAAAATCATTGAAAATGCAATTTAGGTACATTTATTTTAAGTACCTATCTATACTTTATTTTCTCACATATTTTACTTGTTTAAAATGTCGACTTACTCAAAATAGGCTAATAAAATATTTGCAACTTCTGCAGATTAAAAGAGTATTAGCATTTACTTATACAATGGTATTAGCCACAACATGATGTTATACGGTCTTTACTGAACAAAAACAAAATAACGTGTCACCACAAATTTCTAGACATTGCACGGATTATCCACAATTAAATTTTGGTTGACATCAAAAAACATTTACATTTTCATTAAAATATATTACTGCTCGGCAAGAACCAACGGGAAGGTATGAACATATCCATGCCAGGAAAGAATGAAGAAAGATTGTTAGTTTAGGTTAGAAAAGTTATAAAATAAAAATAATCAACAATAAAATAATTCCGCATTGCTGCACTGCTAGGCAATTTGTCACCTGAAATTTATGGCTGGTCGGCCAGTAACGCTGTGCTTGTGCGGCGTTTGCCCGCACTTTCTTCAACTGGGCATATATATTTCTACCACCTCCACGTTTAGTTCGACCAGACCTGTATATGGGTATGATTAAATAAATATGGGAACGAATTTTTCAAATATTTCAATGCCGAGTTGTTGCGTAGCAACTGAACCTGGTACATACTAGCTCTTTGATCTTCAATTGAGATCGGAAAGACTATACTTTGTATAGTACAAAATCACCAGTTATAATAAATGGTATATCGTTTCTTTATACTTGTATTATATTTCAGAGTGGTGTCTTGAATCAGTCTATATTATTTATGTCATTTGTACAATTTACTCATAGATCTTAGACCTAAACACAGATTGTGTGTTCCGATGTTTTAAAATTGCTCCCACTTGGATTAACGGTAAACAATAACCTCTATTTTATTTTGTAAATTTCGTTTTAAATTTTTTCATCACAATAGTTTTCTATTTAGAGCTGGAAATAATAAACAGTAAATCCAATTTTCCATTAATTTTAATTATCACCAGCTGCCACTGTCTTAGTAAACGCTAAGTGATATTTTTCTATTTTAATTTTTGTTTTCCTCTTTAGGTTACTCATATTGAGGATAAATGTGAAAACGACGACATAATACCTTTATTAGACCATGGTACTGGTTCGTGGCAAGAAGGTGGAATTAATTTTGCTGATGAACTTTTTAAAATATCTCTCAAGTGCCTTGAAGAGAAGAAAAAACGACCAAATATGGTAGAAGTTACTGGAATATTGGAGGACCTTTTAAATAAATTATCACTATGAATGTGCACTTTTCAAAATTTTTCTCCTCCGAATCTGTTCTTTGTTGCTTCGATATATATTTTAATATAAATATTTTATATTATTACGTATGTAATTGCACCACCCAAAGGAATTTTAAATAAATAATATATTTTGTTATAAAAATGTGTATTTTTTCTCAGTGTAGGAACAATGTTTATTACTAATAATTCTAAACTAATTTCTTGTTTATTTATTATTTGATAGTTCAATAATTATTTATGTGGCATGTTACGTTGTTATAATTCTTGAAAGTGAAAATATCAGCTTAAAAATATGCCATTTAAAAAATAAAATGTGTGTCATAAGCAGAACAAGTGTACAGCTGTTACAGATAAAAATACACTTACATTGTCGAAGACAGTGGCTAACAACAGCAGTGGTTTTATGAAAGGGTTTCCACAGGTATCCGTGTGATAAGTGGTAATTGCTTTCGGCAGTTGTCTTCGAACAGCATGTGATGCTTCCCAATACTTGCAAAGCATTATACATAACGCTGTCGTGTCATCAGGCAGACGTCTATAGAAAAACATTCATGTTTAGTCGAGCTGCTAGTGTTGCTGCCACTGCCTGTCGTTGCCATCAGAAACGTACTTTAAGTTGGGAAATACGACCTAAGGAAGAGATCCGCCTCGGAAAAATGAGAAAAGTTCACAGAAACGTGTCCTAAAATCCTATCAGTATTCTTTGATATCAAAAATCTAGGTATGCAAAGGATATCTAACCTCACATACAAGATTCCTAACTGACATTGCAGGAAACAACATTATCATGGGCTGCATGCCCCAACAAGCATTGAATTGCACCAGCAATATCTAGTAAATAGCTTTCTTATAATTAATACATAATTAGTGAACATTATAATTTTAAAATTAATAATTATCTAAATAAAAATAAAAAATGGTGTGTTTAAATATTATGAATATAAAAACACATACTTGACAGTGAAATTCAAAAATTTATTGAATTAGCCAAAAACATTTATAATAGAGTAAAAAATGTTAGAACTAAGGATACCTATGTATTTTTAAAAGCCACTACAATAATCCAGTAGATTTAGCTCTGGTGGTTGAGTAGGCCNGCTTCCCAATACTTGCAAAGCATTATACATAACGCTGTCGTGTCATCAGGCAGACGTTTATAGAAAATATTCATGTTTAGTCGAGGTGTTAGTGCTGCTGCCACTGCCTGTCGTTGCCATCAGAAACGTACTTTAAGTTGGGAAATATGACCTAAGGAAGAGATCCACCTCGGAAAAATGAGAAAAGTTCACAGAAAGGTGTCCTAAAATCCTATCAGTATTCTTTGATATCAAAAATCTAGGTATGCAAAGGATATCTACAGACAAGATTCCTAACTGACATTGCAGGAAACCATTATCATGGGCTGCATGCCCCAACTAGCATTGAATTACACCAGCAATATCTAGTAAATAGCATTCTTATAATTAATACATAATTAGTGAACATTATAATTTTAAAATTAATAATTATCTAAATAAAAATAAAAAATGGTGTGTTTAAATATTATGAATATAAAAACACATACTTGACAGTGAAATTCAAAAATTTATTGAATTAGCCAAAAACATTTATAATAGAGTAAAAAATGTTAGAACTAAGGATACCTATGTATTTTTAAAAGCCACTACAATAATCCAGTAGATTTAGCTCTGGTGGTTGAGTAGGCCGTGTTGGTTTTACACAGTCTACCCACTTATTGGGAAATGTCATATTTAAATATTTATTCGATTAATGATTAATTATGTTTGGGGAGAAGTAAAAAGTTTTGTGTATGCCATTCCTATATTAAGGATTACCCTTTAAAACATAATTGAAGAAGGATGTGTTAGGATTCAACAAAAACCAAAAATCTTCGAATCAGGTTTGTAGAAAGAAGGGCTCAAAAGTGTGTACAGAGCAAGAGAACATTTTGAATGCCTTTCTCAAAGTTACAGTTTATTAATTTTAATACACATTTTGGTATTTTAAAGGACAAGAACACCTTGTCTAATTATTTCTTTCTTTAAGAAAATAGTATCACTGTTGCCAAAAAGTGACACATCATTTTAAAAACAATCATAAGTTCTATACTACCCCCCAACCGCGCCCTTGATGAGGTATCCAAAATATTTCCCAACACAAACAATGAATTATTTCAAGCCGGCCAGATGATACAGCTTTCCAAAATTATAAAAGAAAATGGGGTGGAACATTTAACACCCTGTATCTCAATGAATTTTAAACCACTTGTTATTATGGGACTTTTTTTCTGATTGTTATGAGGTCTGACACCTTCCCAGATATTTCCCACTTTGTCTAACATTCGATATAGAATTTTTTGGAAACTGTGATCATATTAATCCAATATGTAAGATTGTCTTAACAGTGTCTTAAAAAAGATAATTAATATATTAAATTTTACATCCGAGCTTCGAATACTTGTGATGCGCATTTCTCTGAAATCAGAAAACGCTTGCTACTGGTCAATCTGACCTCAGATCTTAGTTTTTGAAAATGCTGTATGTATAAATTACAGAAATAAACAGTTTAGAGCAATCTAAAACCAATTTTCTTATAATTAATTTTTAATAATGAATAAATGTAGGGGAATTGCAAACTTTTACATTCAAACTATGCTTTCAAAACTGGTACCCGCTCTTGCGTCATCTTCGACGATAACAACAACATGGTCACTACGTTTTACTTCTTGCTGATTAATTTCTTCCCCTGATACAGTAATAGCAGTTTCATTTTCTCCCTCGTTTAAATTAGGTACAGGCGTGTTGGGGTGACCTGTTAGGACTGTTGATGGGGTTCCCCCAGTAATATTTATGGTGCTAGGTGGTATGTATCGAACTTCACATGTTCTTTGCCACCAATTGTACCACAGCCTGGCATGCATTCTTATCACAGAGTACACCCACATATAGTAGCCGATAAGCATTATACCGATCATGATGAGCAATGAAATTGAAGTCCATCGTGCAGCAGGTAAGCTTGAGAACTTTTTCTGGTTGTAATACTCAGATGAGAATAGGCAGACATAAGTGATTACGATAGCCAGGGGAGTAATAAGTGTGCATGCTATTACATCACTTCTAACTCCTTGTCCTCCCGAAGAATTTGTGAAGCACCACCTACAGATCGATTCTCTTGAAGAGAATCGTGGCGTTCTCTCTGTTTTAAACTCCTGGTGACATAATTCACACGTTGTTGTGTTTGATTCTCCCAGCCAAGTCTCCAGGCATGATCGGTGAACAAAAGCTACTGTACCCTAGAAATTAGTAATAAAATACATGTTTGTTTTGGGTGTAACAACTAACTTTGCAACGACATGGATTTATGAGTTCTTCTTCTCTTTCGTTATCGTAGCAAATGCGACATGCAACAGAAATTATAGAAACTTTTGGACCTGGGGAATTAATAGACATTTGCTTGGGTGTCTGAAATTCTTCTGACATAATCTATCTCGTTATTTTTAATTCAATGTTAACATAATTCAATTAAATGGACAAATAACATATATTTTTTCCTCGTTTTTAATTTGAAGTCGTACTTTGTGCATTTTCTAAATTTAAATCATTTGAGGTTAGACGTTTGTTTCGAATTTTGACAATATGACAATTTATCCTTGTTTACAAAATACGAGTACGTTCAAAATACAGTTCAATGTTTATCATTACATTATATGACAAATTGTTTTCTGCTTAGTTTTACTGAAGTAAATATTAATTATTTCTACAAATTATAAAATCCAAACACATATTATACTAATAATTAAAAAAAAGTTAAGGTTTCGCCACAGCAAAATAAATATCTGCTGTGGTTACGCCATCTACTAGCGGCTTAATTAAATCTTTAGTGGAGGCAAAAATAACTATAACAGTTATCTACTTTGATAAGAACCTCTTTTGTGTCGATTATAAATTGCTGATAAATTGAATAAATTCTGATCATTATTATTAGATGCCGCTATTTGTAAAATCAAGTACAGGGACTTTATACAATATACAAGTCACTGTAAATTCAAAGAAAGCGTTGATTATATCAGTGACTATAACAAGAATCTGATGTAGGAATGTAGGTATTATTGGACACTGATCACAGTAATTCCATTGGTTTTGTAATATGAACTACATAAACAAAGGGAACTACTTATAAAATACATGAAAATAATTAACAAATTAAACATACAGAGATCTTTGATTTCTGACCATACCATTTAAATTGGATCAAGAGAGATTTCTAAATCAACGCTTTCTACTCATAGAAATACTGATAATAGTTGTAATCTATAATAGATGGCAGTAAACGGAAAGAACGGAACAACAGTGACGTCATCATCATTCGATTCCTGTTTCACGTTTTACCTGTCTTTTTGCTGCAATGTAAGGTCTAAAACGATAACCCTGGTTGCGGTTGCGTTCCGTGTTTGTCTGTGGCGGTGCGTACACTTTACCGAAATGTTTGCTTGTAAGTCCTGACAGTTCGATAAATTACAGTTACAATTAAGTGCTATAAATAAAAGTGTAACTTAACATAGGTAAATATTACCTAGTAGTTTCTTATGATACTAAAAAAAGACGTTTTATTGAGATCTAATTGACTTATTCCATATTATGTACTATAAATCGGGGTTGATACCAGCTAGATTTTTAATTTTAATTTCCCATTTTTCGATTTGTATAACATTATTATGGAACAGCAAGGAGAGCGCGAGGTCTTGTTTAACGGAAAAGGCATCAGAATACAGCATCCACAGTCTCCGTACAGAGTAAGTGTATACCTTTTTGAAATTGAAGCTTTGCTAATCCAGATTTAAGAGTTTGAATTTTCAAAATATTGTTTTATTTTCTCAATGCATTGTTTGTACACATCGACGATTTAGTGTGCAAGTCATCTTTACATCGCTTTGCTATTCAAATTGTCTAATTAAGTCGGCCTTTACCTTGGTGCTAATATAAGTAGGTGTCCTTTTTGTTAATTAAATTTTACCTGTAATAAATATGATAGTTTTGTTTTATGGCCTGTACTTTAAGCTACTATAGGTATTTATCTTAATTTTGTAAATCCCACAATATTCAAAATGCCTAGAATCACAAAATATGTTTACCGGCTAGTTCACGTGTTATTTTTTGTCAATGACGAAAATATTGGACAAAAATAAGCACCCAATTAGCAATATATTTATATCAAATGAGATGCTGTTGTCAGTATTACTCGAATGTGTCAGAAAATATTTGCGTTTTACAAAAATTCTAAGCTTATAATTTATTGTTCTTTGTTGGCGTCAAATGTGACATATTCGTATAATGCCCTGAAGAATAAATTCGGATAACAATTAGTTTATCTAAATTGTGATATATGTATATTATAGTAAAAATTCATAGATAAAGACACTACCGGGAATAGTACAAAAATGTTACTATAGCTGTTTCAAAAATGCCATCTATTATTTACCATGTGAAGTTCATACAATACGTCATCTATTATTTCCCTGCAAAATAATATTATTTTTATTTTTAATTTATTTCTTTACAAGTAAAAGTAATAATAATTGAAATTACAAATAATATAACATTGAATTTATTTGTATTTTTAACATATTAGAGCTAGCTGTGTCCTTTCAATAAACTTTTTCAATGTTATGCTCAAAAAATATTAGTAAAATATGTTAAATTCATGAAATTTACTTTGTACGCTAATAATTTCCTGATGATAGTAATGATCAAGTTGAGAGGTTAACGCTCTCCCGATTTCCCGCAATGTATTTTTTGTTGCAGTTTAAATATGTTTACTACGGAACTCATTGCCATGACTACTATGCGTCGTACTTGACCGAACTCATTATAGTTCTGTCCGTTGGCAGACTTGTTGAAATCGCCAACGCAGGTTTAGAAATAATTTATTTATAGGGGTATTTGCGACGAAGTACGTATACAGGGTGGCCCAGGTTTTAAAATGGAAACTTCAGGCGACAGAACAAAATTTCGTTCCACAAAAACGTTTATGGATTTTTTTTTCTTAAAAATACAATTTTGAGTAAGTAATGTGTCAAAAGTTCAACGAATTATTGATATAGAATTTTTGTTTTTTCCGGGGGTATAGCTCTTATAAAATTAGTTGATGGTGATTTTTCGAACTTTTGCACTTTATGTTGTATCTAAAACTGTATTTCTAACAAAATATTCCCATAAACTATTTTTGTGGAGTTTTAGTGTCATTTTCGATTTCACTTTGACACAACAATTATATTGTTGTTTTACTACAATTTTCGACAATTCACCATACTTTCCAATCGGGAAAGAAGGAAATTTTTATCTCATTTTCCAAAATCCCGTTGACGCGCCCAAAACCACTTCAAACCGGTTCAATCACGACCGTCAGTGTTGACAAAGGACGATGCCATCAGCAGAAATCCCAAGGTCAACGAGGGAATTTTCACCTCACTTTCTAAAAGTTCCCGGCGTTCCATGGGTCCAAAAAACCGCTTCAAGAAGCTAAAAACGCCCCGATGCAGTAGCCAACATCCCTAACGAGCTAGTTGTTCGAACAAAATCGAAAAGATCATTTTTTATTAGAAATTCCATTGTTAATAAGAAGCACTAGTCGAACATACCTCTCATATCTCCGCCACTGGTTGAAATATTTGCTCTCATATTTTGTAAGTCATCTTACTATTAGTGAGTTCTTACTTTTTCTTATCTAAAGTAGGATCGTATTCGATGCAAAGTAGAGCAAAAAATTGTCGGTCTTTTATCGTGTCATCATTTTTAGGACGCGTGCATCATTTCAAATTTAAAATGTAATTGAATGTAAAATCTGAAATACTGCTGCATACGCACTGTGTTCTGGTAGTAGCTGTAGTCGTCCAGGTGCATCGAGTGTACGAAGTGGTCGGTTATACGTCAAATATTAATCTGGCGAACTTGGTCGTAAATCAGAGACCGCCTCCAAAAAACAAGTATACAACAGTGGCGCGTACAGAGCTAAAAAGTGGAATTTAAAAAACAAATTGGATTTATAATAAATTACATTTAAAATAGTTTATGAAAATAAATGGATTTTTATAGGAACAGGGGTGCCAGACGTGAACTGATCCCTTCATTCCTTCATAATGCATAAAGAAATTATTCAGTTTCTAAACCCCTTAAAACCGTACTACACTGGATCCCTTGACAGGCATTGATTTATTATTTTGCATCGAATATGATCCTACTTATAAATGAGTGGGTGGTTTAAGTTTCATCAGTCTATTTCAAACATCCTCAGATATATTCAAGATATATTCAAGCAGTGGCGGTCTTAAGGGGTGGCGAGCACGGCAATCGTCCGGGGCCTCGCTCTTGCAGAAGCCTCGTACATACAACAAGAACCCGAGTAAAACAAGTTTAGATATATTTAAAACTTTATTTGATCCTTAGCTATTAGTTATAGAGGTATATGACAATAAAATAAAGTTGGTTAATTCATAGTAAATATGTTAATACTTAATAAGTAGGTAGTAAAAGGTGTCTAAATAAAATTTCTCATTTAGATTTATTTAATGATCGATTTCAACATCGATTAATTTATCAGTGGATAATAATATTTTTTGTAATTTGGCTATAAAACATAATTGAAAAATACATTTGAATCTCGTAACTTATTTTTATCATTATTAAAAATTTGTCCGTTTTTGTATTTGTTAACTTTTAAAAATCTCTTAATATAATATTTGAAAACTGAAAATTTATAACTTTTGCGTATGCAAGAAAATGTGGAACGTGAATGTGTGTTCTTTTATCACCTGGTGAAGTTTCCACCTTATAACTTGGACCACTATGTATATTTTTCTAGTTAAATTCATATCTTCTTTTATAGTTAATAATAATTTGTAAATGTCTGTTTCTTGAATCAACGGATTAAGGATAGTTATTTTGTGCGAAATGCGATTCATTTGCTTCTTTTATTTAAAAATAAAATGTTTCCAATTAGTTTTGCCTGTGACCTCTATGTTTTTTAAAATGTAGAAAATTCTAATTTTATTTTTCTGATTATGATGTGTATATGCATTGTCTAATGGCATGGCATCGTATACCCTAGATATGATATGATTTACTATTTTGTCGAAATAAAAATTATCCGCACTTACAAAGAGTGCGTTGAAGAACAAAACATCACACTGCTAACTACAACCTCAAAGTTTAGATATCGTATGCTAAATCGCAACACCCGTGCTATTTCAAAGCCGACGTGATCTAGCTGTTTAAATTACTTAAAATGCAATTATCACTTGAAGAAGGTAAATACATACATATACTTAGTGATTAATTAAGTGTCCTTGTTTGAGTTTAAACATTCTACCAGTTTGCGTTTTCGGTTACAAAAAATGGAGCGAAAGTCAAAATTTTAGGTTTTTGTTGATGTTACCGACCATGATTCGAGAAATCCTCATGGTGGGGGCTCGAAAAACAGGTACTCGTTTAAGGTTTAAGGTCTTAGTATTTTTACATCACGCAAACAGTGTAACGAAACATTTAAGTTATCTAAATACTGTGTTCTGTCGGTATCAATAATATTCGTTTAATCAAGTAAAAAATATTTATTTGTTGAACCTGACCTTTGAGAGTTAGACGCAGACCAACGTTACACATTTGCGACAGAAAAATGTTTCATCTAATCCATCGATGGTGTTATCGCAGAATTGTGTGATGAAATTAGAGATAAAAAAGGATGTGGATTGTGAATTATAGTTTTATGGTATTACTGCGAAAAACATATACAGCCATTGGCGTGCCTGAAAGTGGTATAGCGCATTGCCATAATACAGTCTTAATAAATTCTTGTTTACAAATTGCGCGATATAAAAAACGTCAACATGATTTCCATCAACGAGATGGGCATGTCAACATGAGTTTATAATTGAAAACCACTTTTTAATAACATTAATTAACAGAAAAATTAATTACTTATAGAATAAATAACTTAATCTAGAGCTATAATTCCCTGATTGCCAATCACAATTTTATTAATAAAAAACTATGGGAATTTAATTATGTTTCTTGTGAAACTTGTTAATTCAGAAAATTTATGCAGATTAATTTTAGATTAAAACATTTAATTTAGCAAATGAACTATTTACTTTAAGTAGTGTTAGTTTTTAATTGATTTTGCAAATTAACAGAACGATAAATGAATATTTTTATTGATCTTTTATACAATAGTATTCAATTATAGAGGATATGTGCAATTATAGGATCATTTATTGATATCCGTTTTTTTCTCTGTAAATACAGGGTGTTACTTTAATTTTTTACCTTAAATATGTAACCTTTATGGATACCTACTTCAATAAAATTTCTTATAGAGCAACCAAAGATATACACGTTCATTTCTTAACTAAGTCGCTAAGAATACTTAAAATAGTCTTTTGTTTATTTGCCAAATATTTTTTGTTAATAGAGATTTTAGAATAACGCAGTTCACTTTATTTATTCTAAAAAAGATTTCATATTTATAGTTGTAAAATGTAGACATAGACAACAATTTTCTAAGTAAATATAGTGAAACAATTTATAAGTAACAGAAATGAAAAATGTATGAAAATCTGTGATGAAAATGATAGTGCTGCAAAAAAATTATGAATTTTAAAGTTTTATAAGTTGTCTACGTCTATGTTAAATACTATGAGTTGTATTAAATTTATATACCTTGAAATTATTTTATCTGTCTATGAGTCATAACTTAATATTTTTATTTAATTTGTACGATATTTGAGGTTATGATTTTCTT